TCTGCCTGTGTCTCTGCCTCTCTCTCTCTGTGTGTCTCTCATGAATAGATAAATGGAATCTTAAAAAAAAAATGATCCAGAAACTTGGGGCCCAGGAGCCAGTGGGACAGAAAAGACTTGGGAGGAAGAGCAGTGATGCAGATGCTTCAGGAAGTCAGATTGGGTTGTGGCCTTTGGAGGCCACCGATGTGCCGGGCAAGGGCAAGGTGGTGAGGGGTGGGGGGCGGGAGCCAGGGGCTCTGGGAGCGAGTGGGTGACACGGGGAGGCAGGCAGGAGGCAGGGCTGCACCTTTGTGCGGGTCAGAACGGGTGCTCCTTCCTCCAGGCGGAGCAGCTCGTCACCCCGCATGCCGGGCTGGCCAGAGGACGCAGGCTGCACCTGGGCCCTTCCACAACGAGAAGGAACGAGGAGTCCTCGACCGAGGAAGGTGCTGGAGCACGTGGGGGTTTATTTTTTAAGATCTGAGAGACCAGTGCGGTTGGCTTGGATGAGGAGGGGAACCCATGACAGAAAAGAAAGTATAGGACGGGACACCTGCCACAGGTAGCCGGGCGGGTGGGCGGGCAGCCGGGCAGGTGCGCGCCTCCGGTGCGCTGGGGCCAGGGCTGGGGCTTGGGGGGTCTGAGGGGGAGCAGCGCTGTGTGCTGAGCCCAGAGCCCGGGCCCGGTGCGCAGGTCAGCCTGCTGGCGAGAGTGAGTGAGATTCTCCGCGGCAGGGCCTGGGAGCAGACACCGAGCGGGGACGCGGACACGGCCCACACCGACTCCCGGGGTGGCCAGTGGCTCTGCTGCCCGGGCTGGGTGACGTCTACACTGCCCAGGCTTTAGGCCGGGGACTGGGCCAAAGAGGCCGGAGGGGTCTGGGCACAGCGCTTGAGTTTACTTAATTTTACTTTTTACTATGGGAAATCTTCAAACACACCCAAAACTTGTGGGACACCCAAAAGGACCATCATATACCCATCGTTAGCCTTCAGGGATGATTGTGGCTGTCAGCGTTATTGTGTGACCTCCCCCTGTAAGGACTTCTTCAAATTTTAAAAAAATAATTGAACAGATATTATTTTTTTCAAAGATTTTTTTATTTATTCATTTATGAAAGACAGAGAGAGAGCAGGCAGAGGCATAGGCAGAGACACAGGCAGAGGGAGAAGCAGGCTCCACAATGGGAGCCCGACGTGGGATTCGATCCCAGGTCTCCAGGATCGCACCCTGGGCCAAAGGCAGGTGCTAAACCGCTGAGCCACCCTGGGATCCCCAGATATTATTTTTTAGGGAAGTTTTAGGTTCGCAGCAAAACTGAGCAAAAGGCATAGAGAGATTTCCCATATATCCCTGTTTGTTGAAAACTTTATTTTTTAAAAACTTTATCTATTCATGAGAGACACAGGCAGAAGGAGAAGCAGGCTCCGTGCAGGGAGCCCGATGCAGGACTCGATCCCGGGACCCCGGGGTCATGCGCTGGGCTGAAGGCAGACGCTCAACCCCCGAGTCCCCTCTGTGTCTCAATGTACATATATTTTAATTGGACTTTTTTATCCAGAAAGTAGCCCTATCGTCCCAAACCTTCCCGTGCCGTGTGTCCATGTGAACGGGCTCAGTCCCAGGGCGCTCGCCCCAGAGCCTTCCACAGCGGCTGCAGGCGGCGACCGCAGTTGGCCCACGTCTGTGGTTCGTGGGCGCTCTCGTTCTTGGTCTTGGTACTATGCAGCTCTCCCCTTAACACTCGTTTCATTCTTGTTTTTCTTGGTTGATTTGTGTGGGAGGAGTTGCCCACCGTCTGGCCCACTGTCCACACCCCTCTCTGGATTTGGGGCGTCTGTGTGTGAGCGTGTCTCCCCGCTCACCTGACACTCGGTGATTCATCTCAACGTGAGGCACAGTCGGCCTCAAGAAGTATGCGTGGAATTGAATCAACCCACTTACTTGATATTGCCCATCCTCATCTTTGTTGCCTTACGCTAATTTGCAGCTCACAGCCTGGCGCCTGGCACACAGTAGGCGCTCAATAAGTGTTTGTTCCTGCTGCTACCAATAACCCGGGGATGTGTCCACATGTTAGGGCTCTACTGGTTTTCCCCTTCTCCCCGCCCTCCCTCCAGGTGGTGAAGACAGGACACGACCTTGAGGAGCACCGGGCAGGTGCCCTCACTCCCCCGCTCCCGTAAGTTGGGGGCAAATCTCGGTTGGCAGCGGGTTCCCCGGAGCAGGTCCCTGCTCTGAGGCTGCTTCACATGTCTGCGTCGCTCACGATTCCGGTTATCATTAGCAGCAATTAAAACTATTTCAGGATCAGTTCAAAGCTGCCTTTGAGGTACTTTAAGTCGGACCAAAGTCCTCCCTGTGTCGCTCCGAGTGCGTCCCGCTGCCGTCAGGAGGCCGCCTGCGCTTGCAGATCGCCGTCTGTAGGTTCCGGTTGCCTGAACCTTCCGTGCTTTGTGGGGTGTTGGCCACAAGTGGGTCGTGCGTGTGCCACTGCCGCGAGAGCTCGGCCGGGGGGCGCCCCAGGGCCTGGGAAGCGGGTGGAAAGCCGACCTGGAGGGCGGCCGTGGGGGCGGGAGGGAGGCTTCAGAGCGCCCCCGGGGGCCTCACGTCTGGTCGCAGATAGAGACCTGGAGGGAAGCACCCGCACGTCGGACTCCCGGGGAGTCAGTGCGCGTGGCCTGCCTGGGCCTGGAGGGCTGGCAGTGGCACCGAGGGCGCTGGGCCCGGAGATGACGTTCCCGGGCACCTGCTCCCGGCCACGACCGCCACCGGCTTTGTCCTGCCTGCCGGCCGAGGGGCCAGCCGGGTTGAGCGGGGCGGCCTCCCAGGGGGGCGGAGGGCAATCCCGGTGCCGGCGGAGGCCGCGGAGCCAAGGGCGGCCGGGGAGGGCCGCGGGCTGGGAAGGCCGCTCCTCGCCGGGCGTCCTGGGCCGCGGCTGCCGGGGTGCCCTGGCTCCTGCTGGGGAAGGCCCCCCCACGGCTCCGCGGAGCCCAGCGCCCCCCGGGGCTCCCGTCTGAACCCCTGGGTGGGTCTGTGTGCAGAGTGCGCCTCTCTGCCCTGCCACCGCTCCCGGGAAGCAGAGCCCCGGCCGTGCCTGCACCCCAAATCCCGAGCCCGGGGCATCCGCACAGCTGGGGCCTTGCGCGTGGTGCCGACGCCCAGCGAGGGGAAGGACGGAGGGCACACGTCGGCTGCACGCAGCGGGGGGACGGGGGGGCAGGGTGACCCACTTTCAGAGCGGCATGGGGGGGCCGGGACTGCTGCCCATGGTCCGTGTGCGTAGACGTGTCAGCCTCAGACTCCTCGAGGTGGGCTGTTAAACGTCTGTATCCTGTTTTCATTAGCTTGTGCCTCAGCGCTGGGGACCTGCCTCGTCCTCTGAGCCAACAGTGTGCCCGGGGGCTAATAAACAGCAGGTGCCTCCAATAAATCTGCTTTTAATACTCAGTGTAAACGTGTGTGCAAATACGACTGCGAAATGAAAGGTGGGAACTGACTTCTCTACGCCAGTCACACGACTTCAGAGCTGTTTTGAACTGAGGCCGGTAGTGTGCCTGCCTTTGTGTGGACGCCACGGGTTTCACACGTGCGGGACGCGCAGGCAGCGTGCAGGGAGCGCGCTTTGGTGGACGGCTGTGCAGGCGTGCTGTGGGGGCCGTGGGGGAGCGTCCCCCCAGGCGGGTGGGCGCGGAGCCGGCCGTGTACGCCGCAGGCCCGCTGCAGACCAGGCTGCGAACTGCTGGGGCCCAGCGACTGGGAGTTTCTGGGAGCTTCTTGGCCCGGCCCGGCTTCCTGAGCGTCGAGCCCCGTGACCTCACACGCTGCCCACCCGTGAGGCCTGCCCTGGCGGAAAGTGTGGGCCTCCTGGCTCCCCTCAGACTTCCTCTGCTGCCCTGATCAACTCTTGGATCCCGGCGCTCCCCCCACCCAGCTCCCAGGGCGCCCCGATCTGAGGAACGTGGGCTGCTGGCCGGGGGCAGCCCGGAGGGAGCTACAGCGGGTGGTCGCGCATCTCCTGAGCCTCAGCACAGGCACCGGAAGGTGCTCTTTGCCCAAAGCCATCTCCCAGGGACGTGCAGGCCCCCCGCAGAGGCTGCACTGCCCCGAGGGGCCTGCGAGGGCCCCGCTGATCGTGTGCCACATGGGGAGGAAAGGGCAGAGGGGCCAGGGAGCTGGGGGCGGCACTGGCCAGAGCAGCCCATGGCCCCGAGTCCGCGTGGGGGTGTGGAGGCGGGGTCGCCCTGCGGCCTCCCGGTTCGCCGTCATCATCGCGGGTGAGCACGGCGGGCTGCTTGCGAGCAGCCTCGGGAGATGCGGGCGGACTGATGGACATGGACGGCAGGTGCTCCCGCAGCACTAACCGCGGCTCCCTAGTCCTGGCAGGAGGCCGTGGCGCTAGGACGGCAAATCCGCGGCCCGGGGATTGCGTGTTCCTGGCGAAGGGCACTGGGGATGGCACCTCTCCGGGTCCCTGCCAGACGCGGTCCTTGGCTCGGGGCTGTCCAGCTCTCCCGGCGGCCGTGAGCCCCCATATCCTGGCACCCAAGTGGGCCTGTGGGCGCGGGACACCCCGGGCCTCCCGACGACAGCCGCCTGCTTCGAGCCCGCGGACCCAGACGTATGGAGCTGGTTTGGGCAACTGTGAAGGGCAGGAGGGGCGAGAGGGGGGCCTCGGGCCGAGAGAGTGGGCAGGAGTGGAGATGTCGGGCACGGGCCTCGCGGCCTGGCCTGCCCCGAGACGGGGGCCACCGGGTGGTGGGGACCTGCCGGCTTTCCAGGGGGCAGAGGGTCCTGGGCAGGAACCGGCCCCGTCTGCGCCCTAAATACTCCCGCTGGGCCCAGGTTCGAAGCAAGCAGCTGCTTCGAGAACCGACGGACAGATTCCCGAGCATCTGACGCAGCTCTCCCCGCCCGTGGGCGCCCCGGCCGGACCCGCCTGCACCTCCCCGAGCAGACGCCCATGTGCTGTCGCCCGTGTTCATGTGCTATCGCCCGCACTGGCCTGGGACGCGCCGATGGGCTGGAGTGAGTGGGCACTGCCAGGCCCAGCCAAGTGCCACGGCCACCATCCAGGACTGCGACCTCCCAGGCCAGAACGGGGTCCGTCCAAAGTTGGCCACGGCCGTGGGGCGAGCCCCAGGGTGCTGGCTGCCGGCTGCCTGGCCTGTCACCCTCCTCCATCACACGTGGCCTCCTCATACTCCCACGTCCGGGGACCAGCTGTGCCTGGTGACGAGCAGCAGGTGCCCAGGCAGCCCCGCGGTCAGCTCCTGGGCCCAGAAGGCTGCAGTGCCTGGCCCGGGGCTTGGGAGTCGGCCCCACAAGTCCGCGTGGGGCTGCGGGTGCCGGGGTGGCAGGGGCTTCTCTGGCAGCAGGTGCGCCGCCGTGCAGTCTCGGAGACCCCCTGCTCTTGCCCCCTTCCCCGCGGTTCCCTTTCACCCTCCTCTGGGCTTCTGGAATGGCATGAGGGCCCCACCTTGCCCCGGAGGCTGCAGCGAGAGGCACTGACCCAGCCGCCTCCCCCCTGCAGGCCTGGCCGGGGTCCCCAGGGAGTCAGTGGCCCGGGGGTTAATGAGTGGTGCGGGAATCGAGGAGAAACAGGCTGGGCCAGGAGAAGCCGCCCCGAGGCATGAGTGTGCCACCGGCCTGGCCTCTCCTGGCCTGCTCCCTCCTGTCTCGGACAGCAGCCAGGCCGGGCCCAGCGGGGACACCTGCGACCCGAGGGTATGGGGACCGCAGTCACCTGGTGTGGCTAGTGCGAGCCTCACCCTCGGGGTTGCCGCGGGAGGCAACTCTGGGGGGGCCTGGCACTGCACACACGGCGACACATGCTCAGCCAGGGGTCGGCACGCCAGCGGGGGGCAGAGGGGACGTCTCCGTGGAGCAGGGCATTTGAAGGAGGTCGTGAAGGTGGCCCCCAACAGCCCCAGGCTCTGTGCCCAGGCCCATGGGATGCTCCACCCCGCCGCTCAGGGAGCTGCCTTCTGGGAACCCATGGGGGGCAGCCCACCTCCTCCGCCCAGAGCCTTCCAGAACCAAGCCACTGGCTTTGCCACCATGGCGGGCATTTCCCCTTCTGAGAACCCAAGGCGGGGAGATGCTCCGGCCCTCCCGAGTGAGCAGGGGAGCGGGAGGACAGGGGCTCCCGCAAGGGTCGCTACGCTCCTGGCTCCGATCGCCCCTGCGGGAACCCCGACAGCCTCGCGGGGTTCGGCGCTGCCTTGAGAACCAGGACAGCGGGGCCGCCCGGGGAGCAGGGGTGGGGGCGCGGGGAGCGGAGGGGGCACAGGGGCAGCGGAACGGGGGGCGGAGGGGGCACGGGGGCAGGGGAGCGGGGGGGCGGAGGGGGCAGGGGGGCGGAGGGGGCACGGGGGCAGGGGAGCGGAGGGGGCATGGGGTCAGGGGCGCGGGGGGCGGAGGGGGCACAGGGGCAGCGGAACGGGGGGCGAAGGGGGCACGGGGGCAGGGGAGCGGGGGGCAGAGGGGGCACAGGGGCAGGGGAGCGGGGGGCAGAGGGGGCACAGGGGCAGGGGCGCGGGGGGCAGAGGGGGCACAGGGGCAGGGGTGCGGGGAGCGGAGGGGGCACGGGGGCAGGGGAGCGGGGGGCAGAGGGGCACAGGGGCAGGGGAGCGGGGGCAGAGGGGGCACGGGGGCAGGGGCGTGGGGAGCCGAGGGGCACGGGGCGTTGGGAGCCTGGGGTCAAGGGCAGGGGCCGGGTGGGGGGATGGAGGGGGCAGGCGAGCAGGGGCAGGGGCAGGGGCGCAGGGGGCGGGGGCGGCTTCCCAGCCCGGGGCCGCCCGTGTCATCACCCCCGTGTCACCCGCTGTTCTGGGACACGGGCGGGAGGAGGCCGCGCGGTGCGGAGCGGCCGGCAGGATGCGGGGGGCGGGGCGTGCTGGCCGGGCGGGCTGCTGCGGGGGGCGGGCGCCGCGGGGCGGGGCCTCCGGGGCCAAGGGGACGAGCGGGGCGGGCTGGGCATCAAAAGGGCCCCGCGAGGGAGCCGCGCCGCAGTCGCTCCGGCCTCGGCCTCGGCCCCACCGCAGCCGCTCCCCGCAGAGGCCCGGGCCCCCCTCGCCTGCACCTGCGCCCTCTGCACCTGCACCTGCGCCCTCTGCACCTGCACCTGCGCCCCGCGCCCCCCCGCGCCCGCCGCACCTGCACCTGCACCCTCCGCACCTGCCCCCGCGCCCCCCGCACCTGCCCCCGCGCCCCGCAGCGTGATTGCGCCCGCACGGCTCTGCGGTCTGCTGTACGCGGCGTGCGTGGCCGCGGCGCTGGCACAGGAGGGCAGCGCGATGGCGGGGACGGGGCCGGGGACGGGGCCGGGGACGGGGCCGGGGACGGGGACGGCGGCCGGGCCCCGGGGGCGCCGCGGGGAGCGCGCCTTCGCCCCGGAGCCCTTCGACGGGGAGGCCGTGGGCGCGCGCGCCTGGCTGCAGCGCTTCGAGGCCATCGGTGACCTGAACGGCTGGGACCCCGCGGCCAGGCTGCGGCTCCTGCGGGGGTCCCTGCGGGGACGCGCCCTGCAGACCCTCCGCGCGCTCGGGCCCGAGGCCCAGGCCGACTACGCGGCGGTGAAGGCCGCCCTGCTGCAGGCCTCCGGGGGCCTCCCGCCCCGCGAGATCGTCTTCGCCAACAGCATGGGCAAGGGCTACTACCTCAAGGGCAAGATCGGGAAGGTGCCCGTGAGGTTCCTGGTGGACTCCGGGGCCCAGGTGTCCGTGGTCCACCCCAGCCTGTGGGAGGAGGTCACGGACGGCGACCTGGACACGCTGCGGCCCTTCGAGAACGTGGTCAAAGTGGCCAACGGGGCAGAGATGAAGATCCTGGGCATCTGGGACACGGTGGTGTCCCTGGGGAAGCTGAAGCTGAAGGCAGAGTTCCTGGTGGCCAACGCCAGCGCCGAGGAGGCCATCATCGGCACCGACGTGCTGCAGGACCACAACGCCGTCCTGGACTTCGAGCACCGCACCTGCACCCTGAAGGGGAAGAAGTTCCGCCTGCTGCCCGTCGGAGGGTCCCTGGAGGACGAGTTCGACCTGGAGCTCATAGAGGAGGAGCCGGCGGAGCCCGGGGCAGCTCCCTCCTACTGAGGGGCCCTCTCTGCGCTGCCCCGAGCCCCCGAGGGAAGACACGCGCGGTGGATGGTGGAGGGCCTCCGGAACCACCTGCGCCTTCGCCCCGTCCTCCATCTGCAGGGGCCTTAATCTGTCCCTGGGGGGGGGGGCTTCCATCCTAGGAGGTCCCGGTGGGGGAGAACCGGCTGTCCCGGAGGGAGGGCGAGTCCTCGTGGTGGCCAAGCCGCTGTTGGTGGCAATGATTGGAAGGTTCAGTTCCAAGAAGGCCAGAAAGGACTGCCTCCCCCAGAGGACGGGGTGCGTCTTCAGACCCCTGAGCTGTGGCTCCTCCACGCTATGCTGTGCCCCGCTGGGCTGTGACCCGGCGGCAGGGTCCTGGCAAGCGAGACCCAGCTCCCGCAGGTGAGGCCTGCAGCTGCCCCGGTCATGCCCCCTCCCCGTCGGGTCCCACCCACCCACCTACCCACCTACCCACCTACCCGTATGGTGTAGTTCCCTTCTGTTGTTCACTTTGAAGCTCATTGAACCTTACGCCAATAATTCCTTACTTCAAAAAAACAATAAAGATTGACTCATGGAAGAACTACGTAACGTGTTGATTGGGGATGAATGGAATGGATGTGAGAGGCTGGGTAAAACAGAATGTCAGAGGGGAGGAGCATCCAGGAGCTCCGGGGGGGACCCCTGGAGATGGAAGGGACCGTATAGTATCTTGGATCTTCTAAGATAGCCTCAAAGAGTTTTTACCGATTTCTTCCCTGATGCCTGTAACCATTTCAAGCTACGGCACTTCTGCACCCAAACTGCCTCTCATACCCAAGAACGAGCCGTATGACACTTGTGCGGCGCTGACTGGGGATCGGTGAGTCACGGCCGTTGTAAGCAAGTGGGGAGGGTGCCTGCACCGCGTTCTTGCAGCCCCCCGGGACCGAGGCACACGGGGCCGTGGGCAGCCCAAGGGGGTCTGGAGGGCGAGTGGCCGTGAGGGCTCTGCTGTGGCGAGGACGGCCTCTCCCCGGAGGGCGTGGAGCCTGAGCCGGGAGAGCCGGTGGAGCGGGGAGGACCCTCCCAGATCTGGGAAGGGGGTGTTCGCCTTCTCTAGGGTCTACCTCATATGTGCCTCCAGGTTCCTGCCTCTCCCCCTGGAACTCGGCAGGGCTGGGAATCTGGAAGCAGCTGAAAGGGATCTGCAGGGAGCCGGAGGGGGCAAAGCTCAGGAGCTTTTGATGGGAGGTGGGAAGGAAGGGATGTCTTCCTTTCATGAGGGCGGGCTGAGCCTCTCCTGGAAGTTTCCCCCTGAGCATCTCCAGGGGAGAGAGAACCAGCTGAGCGGGAGCCGAGACAGGGGTGAGTGTTCGTCCTCGGCAGCCTCTGGGGCCGTGAGGCTGGTCCTCCTGCGCGGCTGCGAGCTCGGGCCCGGCTGTGATGCCCGGGACAAGGCCCAGGCCCGGCCCCTCAGCCCCCCGGTTGGCGCGGCCCAGCAGGCAGGGAGCCGGAATCGGCCTCGGCAGCTGGACCGCTTCTGGGCAGGGGAGGCCCGGGGGGCCGGAGCCCGGAGGACGCAGGAGGTGGGCTCCTTGGGCCTCGCAGGTCCCTGCTCCCGCTCCCAAGGGATACTCCCAAGGAATGTGGCTTCTGCCCCAGGCCGAGCCCTCCCCCGAGGGGACAACCCCGCCCGCACCTCCCTGTGACCTATTTTCCTCCAGGTCCTTGGGATCCGAGGCCCTTGCTGGGCTGTAGGAGGGAGGGGGCGCGGGAGGCAGCCGGGCCAGAATTCCGGGCCACGCCCGGGCTGTCCCCTGTGTGCGGTCGGGCGGCCCTCCGTGGGCTGGAGCCGGGCGCCGTGGGAGGCGGGAGGGGGAGGTTACAGGTGCAGATGCGGGAAGGCGGCGGGGGGGGCGGCGGGGCGGCGGGGGCAGGTGGACAGCGCCCCGGGAACAGGCGTGGGGGGGCGCCCTGGAGGCACGGGCAGAGGAGGCTGCGGGCACACGGCTGCCCGGTGGGGAGTGTGCGTGGGAGCCGTGTGCTCGCTTCGAGCCGTGTGCCAGGAGCGCTCTGTGGGCTCCGGGGCGCCGTGGGGCCGCAGAGGGTGCAGCTCAGAGGGTGCAGCCCTGGTGGGCGCTGTTCACACTTGGAGGGGCAGGGGAGGCACCGGTGTGCGGGGTATCGGGGTCGGGAGGGTCACCTGCGGAGGTCAGCTAGAGCCGGGTCTCCGGGTCCTACCGTGCAGCTGCCCGAGAGCCTGTCTACACCCCAGCTGAATTTTTCACCTCCCAGGGACCCAAAGGGGGATCCCCAGAGCAGCAGAAAAGCAGCATTGGTGTCACCTGGGGCTTGTTAGAAACGCAGAATCTCTACCCCCCCCCCCGCCACCACCAACCCCCCCACCCGGACCTGCACCGGAGCCTCCACTGGGGGAAAACAACCCCAACCACTGACCAGGTGGTTCTCCTGCACGGGATGTTTGAAAAGCTCTGGCCAAGAGCGTTCTGATGCCTCCAGTTGCGGGAAGCTCATGTCCCAAGGTCTCTGATAGTGACCAGCACGCCCTGGATGCTGTTCATTCCTGGGACGTTGCCGGATAATTCCTCGTGCCTTTATCCCACAAACACTTACTTTATTTTTAAGCCTTTGTTTTGAACTAATTTTAGGCTACAGAAAAGTCACAGGAGCACTACAAGAATTTCCATCCATATTACCTAGTTTCCCCAAATGGTGACTTTTTTTTTTTTAAAGACTGTATTTATTTGAGAGCGAGAGCGAGCACGCGTGCCCACCCCGGGGGCGGGGCAGGGGGAGGGGGAAGCGGGCTCCCTGCTGAGCGCAGGGCCCACCGCACCCACCCCACGGCCCAGAGGTGGGGCCTGGGCAGAAGTCAAGCCGACGGTGAACCGACTGGGCCCCCCAGGCGCCCGGTCACCTCGACCAGCTGCCCTGGCTCCATCTCTCCCTGGGCTTCCTGCGTGTGTGTGAGCTGGGAGTGCCCGCGTGTGTGTGCTCCCCTCGGAAGCCTCCAGTGTTCAGATCACAAGGGCGAGGAACCCCCACTGACCTCGGGCCGGTGATCCAACCCGGGGAGCTTGCGGGTGTGTGGCCTCCTACCTGGCCCGTCCCCCAGGGCCACCTCGACAGCGAAGGGAACCGTTGTTTTGCACCTGGGGTTCAAGCCCGCCGCGGCCTTCAGTGCCCACGTCTCTTGGCCTCCGCAACCTGGGCGGCCCCGCCGTCTCCTGGTCTTCCATGCTCTTCCATTTATGAAGAGGCCAGGTCGCCATCCGGGACCGTGCGACGCTGCTGTCGGGGGACTGATGCTTTCCCGTGAGCGGATCGAGGGTGTGTGTCCCTGGCAGGAGTGGCCAGAGGACCGGCGACGTGCTCCTCAGCGTGCGTCAGGGCGCGGGCCGCCTGTGGGCCCCTCACTGGGGAGGTTGACCTTCATCAGTCCCCGTGTCCGGTGTCCCCGCTGGGCCTGGCCATGTGTAGCGCGCGCTCCGGGCCGGGGCTGCAGGACCACGCAGGTGGCTTACCTGCCGTCGGGGACGCCCCCACCACGCGCGCTGTCAGCCTCGCCAGCCGGGAATGCCTGATTCTACCCCCCGTGGGTCCCAGCTGGCTCTCGGCTCTGGGCTTTCTCGTCCCTTTTATTATTTATGAATTTAATTTACTGATTTTTAACCAGGCGCCACCCCCGGTCTGGAGCGCAGCGCAGGAATCGAACCCACAGCCCTGAGATCAAGAGTCAGACACGTCACTGACTGAGCCGCCCAGGCCGCCCCCGCCTCCCCGTTTGTTATTTGTGTCACGTTAGACTCGGACTCTCCTATTCAGGGACTCATCCTCTGTTAAATCATCGTTCTGACGCTCACGTTGTGGATTGGGCCTTGGGAGCCTCCGCAGACTGGCCTCCGGCCTGGTCGGGCCCTTCCTTGTTTTCTGGCGCGAGACGTCCCGGGTTCGCCTTGCGTCTGTCTTCCCTCGGGGTCGGCTCTTCCTCCCGGGAGCCCGGGATCCCCCTGGAGGCGTCGGCTATTCCAAGGCCGGGATTCGGGTGTTGGGTGCGTGGTCGCTTGTGGGGTGTCCTTACGTTACTGAGCTCCCGGCGTGGCCGCACCTAAGGGAAAACCACACGTAGCCCGTGTGCGTCTGTCTCGCTCTACGCGTAGTAAACGTGAGTTCATGGTGATACGTCCAATTCCAACCCACAGCAATAGGGTTTATTCTTTTTTTTTTTTTTCAAGATTTTATTGATTCCTGAGAGACCCAGAGAGGGGCAGAGACCCAGGCGGAGGGAGGAGCAGGCTCCTGCGGGGCCTGATGCGGGACTCGATCCCAGGACCCGGGTCACGGCCTGGGCGACAGGCGGGCGCTGCACTGCGAGCCCCGGGCGCCCCAGGCGGTGACTGTGGCGTCCTCCAGTCCCGTGTCTGTGGCTCGTCTCCGGCGACAGCTGCCGCTGCAGGTGCCTACTCCGCCCGGGTCTGTCCCCGGGGCGTTTCGGCGCTGCCAACGGTGCGCCTGTGACGACGGCCACCAGCGACCCGGTGTGAGTCGCCTGCTCGGGGCCGGGCGTGGGGTGTGGGTGGCGAGTGAGAACAGATGGGGGCTCAGAGCGCAGTGGTCCCCGGAGGGCCCGCGTCTCCAGGACCCCGGTGTTCTCGGAGCCACCGGGGTCAGGGACGGGAGGGCGCCAGCCTCAGGCCACGGGGTGACCTGGCTGCCCTCCCGCTCCTGTGCCGCTGGCGGGACGCCGAGGCAGCCGACAGCCGAGCCACCAGATGCACACGGCCCGTCCCAGCCGAGGTCCACGGGATGGGGGGGCGCGTGGCTGGGCGTGCAGGGTGGCCAGGATGCCACTGAGCAGGCCCCCGGGCCCTTAGGGCGGCTTCCTTCCCTTAGGGCAGAGGTGTCCCCGGGGTTGACATGCGAGGCAGGCCAGGAACCCCAGGTCCTCGTGGGCCCCACACTGTGTCCCCTCCCCACGGCCGCCTGCACAGGGTAGCGGGGTGGGTCCCGAAGGGCCCCTCAAGCACACGTTTCACCCGAACACACGAACACAAGTGGTTGCCGCCCATGAAGCAGGGGCTGGAGACGGGAGAGCAACGGGCGAGCAAGGACCGGGCGGGTGGGGGCAGTGACCCGGGGGACAGAGACCACGTGGGCGCCTCGTGGGACTCCTGAGGGGGCCCCGGAGGCCAGGCCCCAACGGTGGTGGGTTTCCTCCGCTTCGGGATGTGCTCCAGCAGCGGCGCCCGGGGGGCTCCGGTCATGGTCCTAGGGTCCCAGGGTCCCGGGGTCCCGGGATTGAGTCCCGCGTCGGGCCCCCTGCCCTGGGCCAGCCGCTCCCCGGCCTGTGCGCTCTGCCAAATAGAAACTCTGTGTGTATATGTAAGAAGATGCACTCGCTAGAAAGTACATTATCAATTCTTGTTAAATTTTAAAGTTGTTTATTTTAATGTGTATCAGAAAAAATACATGTATCCTCGCAGCTGAGCCTTCGGCGAACGTTTGCAGCCTGTGGTGGGCCTAACGCCGCCAAAGCGGTGACTCCCGGACCCTGAGCCAGAGAAGGGCCGGTACCGTGACGGG